TGTGCGTGCTTCTGCCTGTGATGACACGGGGATACTGCCTCAGCCGAGCTGTCCCAATAGACAGCCACTGCCCCACTTTCAAATTTCAACTGCGCTCTTTCCCCGTCCTCTCTCACGGGTCAGGTGAGGCCCAAGCGCAAAGTTCAGGCCCTGCAATTTGCGCCCCTAAGCTGAGCGGGCCACCTCCCGGTCCCAAAATCTCCCCTCCCATTGAACCAAGAGAATGCTCACATCAGTGGCTCGGCTGGAGACTTGCGGGTTGCCTTGCGGCCGACCTCTCCGTCCCTGCCGAGGGCTGATGCTTCCTCTCGGCGCCGGGCTTTGTCCCTTCACTCTTGTGACTCTTGTGCCTGCAGCTGCGATACCCCAACTCACCCCCCTGTCTCGTCCCTCCGCTCTTCCCCGCCCTGTTGTTCCCCTTTTCGCCACTTTGTCCACGTGTGGGAGAACTTTCGCGGAGGGTGGCTATGACACTGACGGGGCCCTGCGATGCTGTGTGGGAAAATTGCAAGCGCCCAGTCACTGTCATTCAATTCCAGTCCATTCCAGCAGGGCTGGTCAGAACAGTAGAACTTGTTTCCGAAGTTCTGCATGAACATTGAAAGCGAAGGTAATCAGTCATAGTGGACTGACATGCCTCAGGCTGAGCTCCTGGCCAATTTCCAGGCGACAGTGGTGGAGGACACCATGTGCAGCACATTTGGTTATGCACAAGTGTTCGAGACACCCTTGGATAAAGATATAGGGTCAGGTACTGGAGGGTCTGGAATCCTGGCCCCGGGGGCCGGAGAGTGCAGGGTCTGAAATCCGGGGTTCAGGAGATAAGACCCTCCCAGCCCCGTGGATTCCAGACCCAACTGAAAATCGCTGGACAAAAACTGGTTTTAAACTTTTGGCCGCCGCTTCGCACTATTCTCGGTTTGGCGGGTCACGAGATTGAATTACAGGTCCACGAGCACCGAAATGGATCTGAGATTTGTGTCCCGCGGTGCCTGCTCGTTCCAGTCTCTGGACCAAACTTGGCGTTAAGCTTTTGGCCGCCGCTGCGCACTATTCTCGGTTTGGCGGGTCGCGAGATTGAATTACAGGTCCACGAGCACCGAAATGGATGTGAGATTTGTGTCCCGCGGTGCGTGCTCGTGAAAATCGCTTGACCAAAACTGCATTCAGAAACGCAGAAACCGAGAAGCTATTAAATAACAACCCAGAAACATCCCAAAACGCAGAAACTCAGAAACACTAATTAGACTCCGAACCATATGCCGCGCCTGGATTGTCCGAGTGTGAGCGCCGAAATCTAAACGTTGGATTGCCCGAGTGAGTGTGAGCACCGAAACCCAAACACATTTAAACTCGAAACGCAAAATCACCGAAACCCAGAAATCCTAAACACCGAAACCCAAAGAAACGCACAGAAACGCTAAAAACACTTAAACCCAAAATCGTGCAAAAACGCAAAAGCCCTAGCCCAGAAGCAGCACCAAACCGAGAAACGCAGAAACCCAAAAACCTGAAGCCCCCTATAAACCTAAACCTAGAAACTCAAAAAACGCCCAAACCGCAGAAACCTTAAACACCTAAGCACATAAACCCAGAAACTGCGTTTCGGGAGGAACCCCGTGACCCAGAAACCTTAAACACCTAAATCCAGAAACGCCCAGAAAAGCAGGAACCCAGAAACCCTGAACACTTAAATCCAGAAGCACCCCCAAACCCAGCAACGCAGAAACCAAGAAACCCAAGCACCTAAACCCAAAACCGTCCAAAGACTAGGAACCCCCCAAAAACGTCCAGAAACGCACAAACCCAGAAACCCTAAACTCGAGAACCCCGGCATGCCGAACCTTCCCAAACCCTTCAGACCCTATAGATCCCAAGCCAACATAGACGTCTGAGTAAGATAGGAACCTCGAGACGGCTACAACAGGAAGCCGGCGCTGTGCTGCTGTGGCCAGTTTTCTTATGGATGGGTAAGCGAGGGCTCGTGGTACCCGTGTGCCCTGGTTTGTTCCCCTGGACAGCATACGGCCGAAACCCAGAAACGTTAAACGCTTAATCCCAGAAGCGCCCTAAAACGCAGAAACCCAGTAAACCTGAACACATAACCCAAAAACTGCGTTTCGGGAAGAACATCGAAAAACAGCAACCCGACACACCTAGACACAGAAACGCCCAGAAACAGAAACCTAGAAGCCCTAAACACTTAGATCCAGAAATATCTCCAAATCCAGAAACCAAAAAACGCAGAAACCAAGAAACTTAAACAGCGTAAACACAAAAGCATCCAGAAACGCAAAGACCAGGAACCTTACACACCTAAGCCCAGAAACATCACCAAACCCAACAATCTGAAAAGGTCTTGAACCCAGGAACCCCAAACCCGCCAAACCCTTCAGACCCTATAGATCCCAAACCAACATAGACGTCTGAGTAAGATAGGAACCTCGAGACGGCTACAACAGGAAGCCGGCGCTGTGCTGCTGTGGCCAGTTTTCTTATGGATGGGTAAGCGAGGGCTCGTGGTACCCGTGTGCCCTGGTTTGTTCCCCTGGACAGCATACGGCCGAAACCCAGAAACGTTAAACGCTTAATCCCAGAAGCGCCCTAAAACGCAGAAACCCAGTAAACCTGAACACATAACCCAAAAACTGCGTTTCGGGAAGAACATCGAAAAACAGCAACCCGACACACCTAGACACAGAAACGCCCAGAAACAGAAACCTAGAAGCCCTAAACACTTAGATCCAGAAACATCTCCAAATCCAGAAACCAAAAAACGCAGAAACCAAGAAACTTAAACAGCGTAAACACAAAAGCATCCAGAAACGCAAAGACCAGGAACCTTACACACCTAAGCCCAGAAACATCACCAAACCCAACAATCTGAAAAGGTTTTGAACCCAGGAACCCCAAACCCGCCAAACCCTTCAGACCCTATAGATCCCAAACCAATATAGACGTCAGAGTAAGATAGGAACCTCGAGACAGGAAGCCGGCGCTGTGCTGCTGTGGCCAGTTTTCTTATGGATGGGTAAGCGAGGGCTCGTGGTACCCGTGTGCCCTGGTTTGTTCCCCTGGACAGCATACGGCCGAAACCCAGAAACGTTAAACGCTTAATCCCAGAAGCGCCCTAAAACGCAGAAACCCAGTAAACCTGAACACATAACCCAAAAACTGCGTTTCGGGAAGAACATCGAAAAACAGCAACCCGACACACCTAGACACAGAAACGCCCAGAAACAGAAACCTAGAAGCCCTAAACACTTAGATCCAGAAACATCTCCAAATCCAGAAACCAAAAAACGCAGAAACCAAGAAACTTAAACAGCGTAAACACAAAAGCATCCAGAAACGCAAAGACCAGGAACCTTACACACCTAAGCCCAGAAACATCACCAAACCCAACAATCTGAAAAGGTCTTGAACCCAGGAACCCCAAACCCGCCAAACCCTTCAGACCCTATAGATCCCAAGCCAACATAGACGTCTGAGTAAGATAGGAACCTCGAGACGGCTACAACAGGAAGCCGGCGCTGTGCTGCTGTGGCCAGTTTTCTTATGGATGGGTAAGCGAGGGCTCGTGGTACCCGTGTGCCCTGGTTTGTTCCCCTGGACAGCATACGGCCGAAACCCAGAAACGTTAAACGCTTAATCCCAGAAGCGCCCTAAAACGCAGAAACCCAGTAAACCTGAACACATAACCCAAAAACTGCGTTTCGGGAAGAACATCGAAAAACAGCAACCCGACACACCTAGACACAGAAGCGCCCAGAAACAGAAACCTAGAAGCCCTAAACACTTAGATCCAGAAATATCCCCAACCCAGAAACGCAGAAACCCAGAAACTTTAAACGCCTGAACCCAGAAGCCGCAAACCCGGAACTCCGAAACTCAGCCTGGAGTACTCTTGGATTCGTGCTTCTCTACCTCCATAAAGGGTTGCCAGGGCTTCGTAAAAATGCGAGCTGAAACGAACGGAACTGCCGGAACCGACAGGGCAGAGACACCGACCCCAAGCCGACAACCCAAGACGAGACCTGCGAAGCAAAACAGTTCCACGTCAACCCAAACCCGACTCAGCCCGAGTCGCATCGATAAGAAAAAAATCCGTGCGCAAAACGAAAATTAGGTAATTAGGCTTTCCAGGTTCCTCCCAGGTTCTTAAAGGCGAAGTGAGACATTTGGGAGGCGACATTATGCAGGGTCGGCGGCGACGGATGACCTCGGAAGTGGGCCCCCGCACTCAAAACAACTCAATTGGACCGCAGCAAGATCCGAACTGAAACCAGCACCACACAACCACAGCCCAACCGCCACAAGGAACCGGGGTGTATCCGATCCGAAACCTGTTTGGAACCGAAAAGAACAACGAACCCGAGACTTTCCAGAGCTGAGCGGAGACCACAGCGGAACCGAAGCGGACAGAAGCAGAACCAGAGACGATAACTGGGACCGGGGAGGAGCCAGGCCGGCAGGGGACTAGCACGCAAAAGCGCACGGGCCAGAACGGGAACAGGAACTGAAACGTACTGAAGCAACGGCCCCAACAGAGACCTGATCATAGGCCAAGGCGTGAAGGTCTAAAATGATCTGTTGCATGACCCTAGGGTTTGGATATTAGACCCAGGGTTTGGGGTCTAATATCCGACCCGGGGTAGACCCAACAGTACCTGAGGGTATATAAAGATGATAAAGCAACAGCAGATCCTGCTTGCACTTGTCCGCGGGGCAGCCTGAACCGTGGCGTCTTCTTCCTATCACCGGACAGTACGTCCAGTAAGCGGTGCGGTTGTCGTTGTTCTTCTTGCTTCCGTAGAGCACATGCCTGGCTTTGAAGCATCTTGCGGGTGAACATTGCGCAACATGATATTGAGGCCGCAATACTGTAGTGTCTGTCCAGAGCAGTTCAAATCACGCCGCTGAGATTTCGTGCAGGCTGAGGACAGCACGGATCTTCTTTCAGCATGCCGGGGTCTCCATGTAAGCGGTTCTTATCTAGCATGGGGCAGGCAAGCAAAGAAGCCGCACGAAAGGCAAAAGTGAAGGCAGGGGCATGCGTCACTCAGCCACTAGATTAGAATTTGGCCACTGTAGCAGGCCCAGACAGCAGTGACTCCACGTCTTGATGAGCCTTCAGATTCAGAGCAGCATTCATTCGCAGGTCGAGCTTGACGCAGCGACCGCTGGTGCTGTTTCCGACAGGCGATCTGGACGCAAGGCACTTCGGCAGCCATGCGATGTCAACGCTTGCAGACGGAGGGTATATACGGATTGATTGAGTGTCATGACATAGTTTCGTTGCTCCAGGCCGTCAATGGCAAGGAGAAGAAGGACAAGGCAGTGTCTGAACCACTGCTGGATAAAGATCGACAGTCAGTCGGAATGCTACAGCAGAGGCATGTTGTCAGTTTGTCCTAGATTCCTGCTGCTACGGCAAGCAGTGCAGGAGGGGGGGTAAGTGGGCGCAGGCCAAGGACAACACTGTACTTTCAATGTCTCAGCGTAAGAGGTCCTTATCCACCATGGGGCAGGCAAGCAAAGAAGAAATACACAAGGCAAACGTGAAGGCAGGGGCATGCATGCTTCCGTTTGGCCACTGTAGCATGTGCAGATAGGGGAGTCTGCCGTCAGATTCGGATCATCATTTGTTCGCAGGCCGAGGTTGACGGACCGACTGCCACCGTGGGTTCAAGTAAGCGAGCTGGACGCCAGGCCTTTGGCGCCATTTGTTTCCAGATTCGGTGTCATGATATAGAGGCCGCAGTACTGTAGTGTCTGTCTAGAGAGCAGTTCAAATCACGCCGCTGAGATTTCGTGCAGGCTGAGGACAGCACGGATCTTCTTTCAGCATGCCTGGGTCTCCATGTAAGCGGTTCTTATCTAGCATGGGGCAGGCAAGCAAAGAAGCCGCACGAAAGGCAAAAGTGAAGGCACGGGCATGCGTCACTCAGCCGCTAGATTAGAATTTGGCCACTGTAGCAGGCCCAGACAGCAGTGACTCCACGTCTTGATGAGCCTTCAGATTCAGAGCAGCATTCATTCGCAGGTCGAGCTTGACGCAGCGACCGCTGGTGCTGTTTCCGACAGGCGATCTGGACGCAAGGCCCTTCGGCAGCCATGCTATGTCTTTGCTTGCAGACGGAGGGTATATACGGATTGATTGAGTGTCATGACATAGTTTCGTTGCTCCAGGCCGTCAATGGCAAGGAGAAGAAGGACAAGGCAGTGTCTGAACCACTGCTGGATAAAGATCGACAGTCAGTCGGAATGCTACAACCGAGGCATGCTGTCAGTTTGTCCTAGATTCCTGCTGCTACGGCAAGCAGTGCAGGAGGGGGGGTTAGTGGATCAGCAGTCCAAACTGATGTGGCAGAGATAGCGCGCAGGCCAAGGACAGGACTGTACTTTCAACGTCTCAGCGTAAGAGGTCCTTATCTAGCATGGGGCAGGCAAGCAAAGAAGAAATACACAAGGCAAACGTGAAGGCAGGGGGCATGCATGCTTCCGTTTGGCCACTGTAGCATGTCCAGAGAGCAGAGTCTGCCGTCAGATTCGGATCAGCATTTGTTCGCAGGCCGAGGTTGACGGACCGACTGCCACCGTGGGTTCAAGTAAGCCAGCTGGACGCAAGGCCTTTGGCGCCATATGTTTCCAGAGTCGGTGTCATGATTTAGAGGCCGCAGTACTGTAGTGTCTGTCTAGAGAGCAGTTCAAATCACGCCGCTGAGATTTCGTGCAGGCTGAGGACAGCACGGATCTTCTTTCAGCATGCCTGGGTCTCCATGTAAGCGGTTCTTATCTAGCATGGGGCAGGCAAGCAAAGAAGCCGCACGAAAGGCAAAAGTGAAGGCAGGGGCATGCGTCACTCAGCCGCTAGATTAGAATTTGGCCACTGTAGCAGGCCCAGACAGCAGTGACTCCACGTCTTGATGAGCCTTCAGATTCAGAGCAGCATTCATTCGCAGGTCGAGCTTGACGCAGCGACCGCTGGTGCTGTTTCCGACAGGCGATCTGGACGCAAGGCCCTTCGGCAGCCATGCGATGTCAACGCTTGCAGACGGAGGGTATATACGGATTGATTGAGTGTCATGACATAGTTTCGTTGCTCCAGGCCGTCAATGGCAAGGAGAAGAAGGACAAGGCAGTGTCTGAACCACTGCTGGATAAAGATCGACAGTCAGTCGGAATGCTACAACCGAGGCATGCTGTCAGTTTGTCCTAGATTCCTGCTGCTACGGCAAGCAGTGCAGGAGGGGGGGGTTAGTGGATCAGCAGTCCAAACTGATGTGGCAGAGATAGTGCGCAGTCCAAGGACAGGACTGTACTTTCAACGTCTCAGCGTAGAGGTCCTTATCTAGCATGGGGCAGGCAAGCACATGCGCTCATGTATCATATTGAAGACCCTGGAAATGCCTGCGCGGTCGGACTTAAAATCCATATTCGGCAGCTTTGTTCCCAATAGGACTGGTCATAGCGTTTAGATGGGGTTTGACACGGTTTGTAAAAGCGTTGAAGTGACTTCTCACGTTGTGAAGTGACTTCGCCCCGCGCCAGCGTTTACGAGGATGATGTGACTTCACGCGGACTGATCTGACTTAAGTCTCCCCCTTGTAGTTGTTTTGCTCCAGGCCGTCAATGGCGAGGACAAGAATGACAAGGCAGCACGTGTAGCACTGCTGGCTGGTGACAGCGGATGGTCGGAGTATTTCGGAACGCTATTGTATGAGATCTCAGCCCGTTTCTTCTGTCAGCAACTGACGTCGAAGCGATTACGCAGAGGAGACGACACATCTTCTTTCAACATGCGAGTGTCTCAGTGCAAGCGGTCCTTATCTAGCATGTTGCAGGCAAGCAAAGACTCCTCACACAAGGCAAATGTCAAGGCAGGGGAGCGGCGCTGTAGCGTGACCAGAGGGCAGTGGCTCCATTTCTGGATGATTCTGCACTTCTCATACGAGTCAGCTTTCGGATTTGGAGCATTAGTTATCTGCAGGCCGAGGTTGAAACCGAAACCACAACTTGTTCGGGTTCTGATGGGCGATCTGGACGTAATTCCTTTTGCTGCTAGGTAGCTGCAGGGCGGTTTCGTGTTGGCAGGCTTCTTGTCTGTCCTGCCAGGCTGCTGGCGACAAGGATGACAAGGCACATCACTCAAAAGCTCTCTGCTCTTGTGTGAGGGAGGGGTTTGTATTGTTGGTGAGAGCAACCGGGCTTCCATGGAGCGTGGCTGTGGCGCCCTGCGCTCTGTGACGGTCGAAGCTATATTCTGCAGATTTACAAACCCGACTGCAGTGCCCTTCTCCCGGATCTGCACGACGAAGTCTCCCCACCACTTGCTTCTCAATTTGCAATTCCCCGTAGTTTGAACCCAGAGCTGAACAAAACATCCATCACTCAGCCAAAATCCACAGGCCCCAGGTCATGCCCCGCCCCAAACCTCAAAAGCAGTCCCACCAGGGTGCCTCTCTCCAGATGTCGGGTCCATGCTCGCCTTCTGCTCGGGTCGGGCAGGGTTCGGCTCAGTTCCGTTGAGACTTTAGCCGGACCGTAGCCGTATTGACAGCTTGCAGTGAGAGGGAAATGGAGCAGTGCTTGTCAACGCTTCCGAGGCTGGAGGTCCGCTGTGGTGTTTGCGGCACGGCTGTGGAGCGAAAGGGGCCCGCAGTGCTCTGCTTGGGGCTTTGGGGCCGCTTTTTCGGATTTTCGTTGCCAGGATGAAAAACGAGTCTTGCGGATTCTTGAACTTCCCCTGCCGTAGATGGCGTCGGTCGGGTTCGGATGTTTGCTATTTGCTGGGGCTTGGGCTTTGACGGGCTCGTCCAGTCGTCTTGTTCCGCGAGGTCTTGTCGGCAGATGTGTGCGGTTTGTGTGTTGCCGCTGATCCTAGCGCTGGAGAAGTTCTCAGGAATGCTCGTAGTTGTTCCGTCAATAAAGCGCGCGCAAGTTGTGAGTGCCGAAACACCAGCCTTGAACACTACTCTGATCTACATGGTGAGCGCTGAAATGGAACTCGACCTCCAAACGAGAACCTTCTAAAGATGGATGTCCAAGGAATCGTTGCCCGGCCAGGTCTTGCCAGGATTGCACGTCCGCGCTGTCTGCACAGCTTCTTGACCGGAAGCAGAAGTCAGGATTTACGTGTGGGCCTTCATGATGGCATAGGTCGGTAGATTCCAAGCTTATATAGAAGTCTACAGACCTAGGCCAAAGAGCACTCATCTAACGTGATTCAGCAGCAGCGCCAGATCACTGTCGCAACATGAATGCCAGGATGGACAAGACGAAGCTTACCCCAAGCCCAGCCTCGTAAGGCTCGGGCTTCGACATGCGGTTGGGGACCGCGTGTGGTGCTCTGGCTATGGTCCTCGCTGGCCGGCACAAGTGGACATGATCAGCTTCGACGGTGCAGAGGACTGGGGCTTTTGCCACACGAAACAATAGCACTGCCTTTGTTTCGAAACGAAGCCAAGTTTCAGGATCCTTGCCCAAGTCGCTCAACGCTTGAGTTCGGATGTTATGCTGGGCTGTTGGAGGGTCCTGCCTGGGCACGGTTGTTGCTTGCTTGCTTGCTTGCTTGTTTGCATCTGCTTGAACAGGTTGCTTCCTGACCCCAGTTGTCTTGAACCCTTGCCGGCTAAAGCCGCTAAAGCCACCATCCAGAGCTTCTTCCGCAGGAGCCCCGTTTTGGGAGTGGGCGAGGCGTAGCGCCGTCTCGAGCAGTCTAGAACCAAGTGTGAAGAGAGTCGCACTTCGCAGGACGGGGAGCCCTACTTGGTCTCCTTCTACGGAGAGAAGACCAACGCCTGGGTCAGCGAGGCGCGGAAGCTCGGGTTTCAAGAGGGGCTTTGAGGGGCTGGGCTTCCTGGCTTCGCATTTCCGCATTTCGGGGATTCTGCGGTTTTTATGGGGCTTCGGTGGCTTAGGATTAGGCTGTGAAAGTGTCGCGGCAGGTTCAAGTGTTCTGCTGCCTAGGACCGATCAGGGTATTCTGGTTGCAAGGTTCTACTGCTACTGTTCCGGCATGGGCATTTTTGTTGTGGGTTTCCCGGGGCCAAGCCCAGCGGCCTAGCGCCTGTCGTTCCTGGCTGGCTTGATGCAGGATCCCCGGGCATCACCAAGAGCCTTGCTCCATCTCGCACGGTCGTCTCTCTCTCTCTCTCTCTCTTTCTCTCTGTCTGTGTGTCGCGGCTTGAGGGCATCAGAGCTCAGCTACAGGCATTTATCGGGTTCGGAGTTTTCCGTAGGCATCGTAGGCAAGGTAAGCAAGGTGAGGCGTTGGAATGGGTGGCTCGTGTTTCGGATCTGGCGATACTAAGCTTTGAGCTTTGGGGTGTTCTGTTACAACGAAAATGTTCAGAATTCGCCGAATTCCGAGGCCGTATACTTGCTATTCGGCACCAACAAAACCATTATTCTCAGCAGGAAGAAGCGGGCCTATCGTGTCCTCCTCGATTCGTGTTCCACGGTTACTATTATAACCCTTCGGTCGACGCGGTGGCTACCGCTGCCAAATGCTATAGAGGTCTTCATTCAGCCGCTTTTCGTTGCAGAATCAGACACCCTTACAGCGGCGAGGCAAAGCTCAATGATTGGGGGAGCATCAAGCCCTCGCGGCCGGCGAAGCGTTGGCAGCGCCGCTTCGACGTGGCTCTCGCGGCAGCTGAGGGGGCCAGCAAGTGAAGAATGCAACATCGAAGATTTTCAAGGCCCCGACGAGAGAACGAGTAGTTTTTCGGCAGCCTATCTATGCGGGAAGTGGTCAGAGTTTAAGACTTTTGTCTGAAGTTAGGGGCTTTCGGAAGTACTCGGATTGCGCATGATTGCGCAGTAGTGACTGCAGTCATACATTCGCAGCCTGCTGTTACAGTATCTCTGCGTCCGGTGCAGTTGTCCTCAGATGGCTGCACTGAGTCGCCCGAATTCGGTCCACACCTCGTGATATCGAGCCGTGCTCGTGCTGGTTCAAGAACAGAGGGAAAGAAGCGCCACGATGAGGACCTTCCAGTCCACCTCATACACGGATCAGGATAGAGTTGCAGAGAAATCAGCCGACTCGCGGCATGACGAAACATGTAGCAGCATCTTCGGATGCGTGGTGATGACCGGGATGTTGTGATGAGCCGTTGATGGTGGGATGACAGTGCGGACCAGTGCGGATCATGATTACGATGGCCGTTGTGCTCAGACCGAGTACCTTGTCATGGCGACCATGGCAACAATGGACATCAGGATGGTATGATCAACATGACCCCACCTTGGGAATAGTGACGGAACTAGTGCTGACTCTGACGATCGCGACGATCAGGATTCATGGTGCTAGTGGTATGGCGACGATGAGGTTTTTGGTAATGCTGATGCTGATGGTGCTTGTGCAGGAACGTGTCCAAGTGCTGTGCCCAGATCTTGCCCAACGTTCTCGATGTCTCAGCATCTGCTGCGGAGCCAGCATGGGACAAAGACCAAATTCTGCTATCGTCATCGTACAGGCATCTTTGAAAGGGTGCATGTTAGGGTTACATTTGCCACCTGAGCCCGGCATCGTGTTTCTGATTTCTAGCGGCTACTCTGGATTGGAGGGATGTGGATTCAGTTTTTGCTTCCTGCATATGGATATCTTCTTTGTTCTCGTTTGCAGGTGCTTGGGTTCAGGTGGTTTAGGCTTGAGGGTTCCGGGGTGCTCGCTGCAGCATGGCGGAAGTGGCAGCCACGGTTCGACGGCTCCTGGCAGTGGGCGGTTTCGTGCCTACCTAAGAAAGTGATGATGGTGAAGGTGGGTTTGTTCAAGTAGTTCTTAATCCCCGTGCTACTGCTAGCAAGCTGTTCTGCCTTGGCTCTGCTTCCTTTGTGCATCTGATTCAGCCAATCGGAGAGTGTTCCTGCTTGAAATCGGGTGCAGCTTATGATTGACGAGGGTCTCCACGTGCTGGGCTAAACAGGGCATGGTAGCTATGTCTAGGCAGAGGCGACGAAAACTGTATGCTAGATTGCGCAATGTGTGTTTTGAACTCGCGGAGCTAGTACTAAAGTCATGGTAGGGGTGTGCTAGCAGGTCTGTGCACAGTATGGGTTTGTGGATACACGAGCTTCCACATAGGCTGTCGCTACCATGCCCATGCCCGAAACATGTTCTGTCACATTCAGCTTAAAGCCTTGCAAGAGTCTACCCTGTTTAGAGGCATTGAGCAAGATAAGTAGATAGGCAGCCACTTTGATAGGTGCAAAAATGCTCGTTCATGCATGCAGTCACGCGCATACGTGCGTGTCCTGGATACATGTATACTATCATACATCTGTGAATACACATCAACACTGACACACACACACGCACAGAAATACATACATGCATGCATCCATACGTGCGTGCAACTTATCACCCCCTGGTCGATCACAGAAAATTTTGCTGTGAAGGATGGAGGGGCATAAATATTAGGAGACACCCTGCACACTCTCGCGATGAAGATGGATGAGGTTCTTTGGACCAATAACACTCGTTGACTTGTGCAAATGGACATTAAACGCAACAGCTGCATCGGCAAAACCACCGGACCCGTTCAGAGCGCTCCCAATTATGCTGGATGTTCTTTGTCTCAGAGGGCTGGCCAAGGTTACGTCTCGTGCTAGGGAGACTTCTTACAACTGAGATCGAGCATTAAACCAGTCCGTCCTTGTTTGCCGAGGTGGTGCTTGAAAATGCCGTGACAGCCACCGGAGCGCAGCATGTTTGCGAGCAGAAGCTGCATATTCTGGCTTAGTTTGCAAGCAACAAGGCTTCGTTTACTAGCTTTCTTCAAGGTGTTGAAGTGAGAACCCAATGTCTCGCTTCGGCTGTTGATGGAGCACGTGAGACAGCGAGAGGCTTCGGTTTCTCAAGAGGCGGGGTGAAAGGTTTCGCGTGCACCGAGGGGTGTCGAGGTCAAACAGTGGTGCATGGATTTACTTCCACATTGGTTCGGAAGAGATGTGGCAACCTGAGGGTCAGGAAGCCCCATAGTTTGACGCCGTAATCCCCGCTCCCCATATGGCGGTCACATCCCCGGAGCCTTGCTTGTGGGTGCGTAACTGGCGCTTTACGTCTGTGGTTTGAGATGGTGCCCGTTGCCTCGCAGGAGTGGGGGCCGTGTTGCCAGCACCACTGGTAGGTCGGCTGGTCACATGGTGTCCGTTTAGCAGCTTGTTGGGAGGTGGAGTTCCTGCACGGGAGGCTTTGCTCAGGAAGAGCGACCCCACCCCCGAATGAAACCCAAATGCAGCCCGGGGTCTACTTTGATGTGACAATGCAGCTCTTTCGACGTGATTAGTTTTCAGTTCGTTTTGGCCCATGCAACCCCAGTGCTAAAACCCCAGCCGGCACATGAGTTTAGTTTCTCTCTGCCCCTCCATCGGCCTTAATCATTTGCGAGCCGCTGGGCACATCAATCCTCCTGCACACCCCATGGCGACATTGGAGCACAGTGCCCTGCACCCCAAACCTCTGGAGGAATGTTTGGACTTTTCGGATTTCTGCTTTGCCTCGACAGCTGCGGATACGGCCTGGAGCTTGGGCTTGAAGTGAAAGATCGAAGTCGACCGAGGCTTCTCAGCTTCTCAAGGTCTGTTTGGAACCACGGTGATAGTTGTTTGAGCGACTCGTCCTTGTGACATTGTTCCGCCACAAGACGATGGTAAAACATGAGCCCTCGACGAATCTCTGATCGACAGAGATCGCGAGAGGACATGAACGTGGGCTGTATACCTGACATGTAACCCTTTGTGAACCCAATGATCGGCTTGTGACGCTGCTCGGAAGCTGCCGTGTTTTCAATGCCTGAATCAGCTACCTCTTGAGCTTGTTGTTGCAGGTCAGTTCGTCCGGTTAACGGCTCAAAGGCTCTGCAGCTCGAAGATGAGCACGCCGTAACACTCGGCATGCTTCAGGGTGTGGGATGAAGATTTGGAATTCAGGGAAGTTTCGCGATGAAGGGCTCAAGCTCAGCTGCCCAGGATCGGTCGCCAATTTCCTTTTCCGACTCTCAGAGCCGGGCTATCGATTTCTCTTCAAGTGGGTCGAGGGCTCAGGCTCAGGGGAAGAGAGAGAGAGAGAGAGAGGGAAACCCCATCACCCTAACCCTGGCGAAAGAAAGAGAGAGAGAGAGAGAGTGAGCGAGAGAGAGAGGGAGAGAGAAGTACGAGCTCAGACCCAAGGGTGTATCGGGGGAGACGAGACGTAGCAGCCCCTGTCGCTTTTCATGGTGGTCGCGTTTTCTCGCTAGCCTCGCATGTTCCGCAGATGGAGTTTTCACTTTCATTCTTACTTTGGCAAAAGCACTCGGACCATGCAAGCGGCGCAGACGGCGAAAGGAGGAGCCCAAGGACCCAGCTCGCGAGATTAGCAGAATCATTTCCCTGACGTCAGATTCCCAAGTGGTCGAATTTCCCAATGGTGTTATTCACCTTAGGAAGCAGGGCAAGTGCCAGAAGTACCCTCCAATGATATGTTCGAGATTTTGGTTCGCAACCTGCAAGAGCAGGCCCAGCCTGCAGCTGCTTCCGCCATGTCAGGATTCACAGGACTCGCAAGTACTTTCAAACGTAGCGCCCCAGACACGGACCTTGACCCCATAGAGTGGGGGGATATGGACCCGAATTTTAGAGCAGCGTTGCAGTCCTCCCTTGTTTGCAATCCCAGAAAAGTAGCGCGCCTAGATCCTAGCACCAACTCTTTCATTCCAACCACAAATGTTGAGCTCCCGGCTCGTTACAATGGAGAACCTTAGCACGGTTTTGGCACAGTACCACGAGCACACAGTGCAGCCCTCCTTTGATCTGCTCTCTAATCACAGTAGACAGAAAGTTGTTGTAGATTGGACAGGCAAAGCTCCTTGGCGAGATTCGAAGGTCTAGCTCTTCAAAGTGTTGAGGGTGATGATTCATGGGCTGCCACTCTTCACCAACTAAGCCACGATAGACCACAACCTACATCAGCAAGACCCTCCATTAAGGATCGAGCGTGACCTCCCGGTGCTAGAAAGAATCGAAGGAGCTCCCCTTCATGCGGTAATGGACTCCTTAACCAAAGCCCAAAACCCAGCAGACACTGAGTACCTCAAATGCGACGTAAATGCGCGAAAACCTCCCATGGCACACTTTCTTGCCGCTATCCAGAACGCCCCTCGACAGATGACACCGCCAAGCTTGACTATTCCAGAACGCAGTCCTTCCATAAAGCAGTAGAGGCCGACCTTATTTCTGTCACAAATAATCAACTCCCGGCCCTCCCCACGCCCTCCACCCCCCTCAGCTGTATGTCACCGCATACACGGATGGCTCCTCCCCCAATAATCGGGTAGTCTCCCCTGACAACCCCGCAGGATGGGTATTTGCAGTTACCAGCTCCTTGGTGAAGGAGGAGCCCTCACAGGAAACAGAATGCGAGTTTTCATTGGCCCGGTTAAAACCATACCTGCTGAAACTCATGTCTTGCCGGAAATTTGGGTCTCCAATAATACAGGTGACTTCAAATCTCTCATCGAACTATTCGATTATTTTCTATACTATTCCAATCTCCCTTCCGTTTCTGACATCGTAATCTTCACAGACTCAGAGTATGCGCTCCGCGTCTCTCTTCGAAGTACGCATCAACAACTCGTTACCCTCGCGCAACAATGCTATACGGCCTTGCGCACTCTATGTCACACTCACAAAGGTTGCCCGTCATTCAGGCGTTATCGGAAACGAAGTCCCGGACTCCTTAGCAAAAAAGGCGTTACTGAATACGGCTCCTTAGGAAGATTCTCCGGTGTCCGTGCAGCAGCACTTTCTCCTCCGGATATTGGCTACTCTTCTTCGGCATGGTTGTCGCTTTCTCCGGACGCACAGAATACCTTCTTGTTGGAACGTTTTAGGAAACATACTCCCCCTATCCCGACGCTCCCCGTATCACCAAAGAAACACTGGATTTCTCCTTCCACTTTAGAATGTACCACTTCTTTTCAGCATAACACCGACCTCGCTGAACAGGAGTACACCAACATTGCAATAGAATGAAAAACTCGCCCGACGCGATAAAAAAAAAAAAAAACAGTTCGTTTTGACGCATTTGCAAGAAGATTTCCACGGCTCCGCTATACAGCAATGGCGCACTACACGGTTTATGCGCGAGGAGTTCCGCAATTCGCCCACTAGCCTTATCAACCCCAACAGCAAACTAGTTTCCAAGATTGCCCGGGCAGAAACCTTTGCAGATTACCTCGCCAATCAGGTCTGGAAAGCTCCTTCCCCGACTCCCTACACTTCGAGGAAACATTTCAGGCGGCGCGTCCATTCACCATGGAAGAACTTAACATTGTGCTGCGCGCTCTGGGCAAGCGCAAGGCTCCGGGACCGGATGGTGTCCCAGCGGAATTGCTACAGAACGCCCCGTACATCTTTCGCCTTGATCACATTGATCACTATAATCATTGCTTCAGTAAGGGCGAGGCCACCGCTTCTTGGATACACTCGGACTTAATCATGCTGTTAAAAAACTATCAAAGAGATACTAAGCTTCTTTCAACTATCGACCGATCTCCCTTTCCAACACTATGTATAAGATGTATTTTTGTTCTCCTTCAACAACGGCTGGCGGTACGCTTTGACCACTGTGTACGATCTACCCAGTTTGGTTTCCGCTCTGGACGCTCAGTCACCCAGCCGATACATATCTTACGCCGCTTGCTAGACGCGCACGAGGGGCAAACAGAATCTTTTCACGCCATTTTCTTGGACTGGGCCAAAGCCTTCCACTCAGTTACGTATACAGACCTCTTTGACCTACATGGGAGTCCCTCCCTCTCTTTTCGTCAAGCCATCTCCTCGCTTCACCAAAATCCCACATTTGTGGTTCGCGATAGTCAACAGCGCTCCGCTTGTTGTACACAAACCCGCGGTCTCCGTCAAGGCTGTCCCCTCTCCCCATATCTTTTTGGATTTGTCCTCACCCACCAGTTCGAGGAAGTGGGACAACAGTACGCCACGAAACCTGGCATAATCTCCGGTGTTTTCCGTCTATACTGTACTACTATCTAATTCTTCCTTTCAAGCACGAATTTTTCTTCAATTGGTGCAGAAGGAAGGAGCCTTGTACTTCAATTTTGACAAATGCGAACATCTCTCGTTCAACTCCACGAATCGTATTGGTGATTACTGGTGTTTGATCCCGCTTATCTTCTCTCTCCAATAGATGGCTTGCAAGGACCTATCTCGGATGCGATCAAACACGTGGGAGTCTATCTCGACCCCCGCTCTACAACCACAAAATGTTTCTACACGTGTCTTCAGGGCGATGGAAGCATCTGAGAAACTCGCCCGACTTATGAAACACGGTCAGCTCCCTCCCAGTTGGAAGCTATTGGTGTACCGCTCCATAGTGCAGTCTATCCTCATGTATGCAATGGACAGTATCTTTCTCACTCCCTCGCAACTCACACATATCTTGACTTATTTATCCATTACAATTGTTTGCGTAGAATTTTAAGATCAAATCCTATTATACTCTCACAGAGTTAGCAACCCCTCAGCCGCTCCGTGCTCTGACTAGTATTTGGCAGAATGGGCTCTTGCCTCAAGAAGGGTTCATAACCCCATCTCAGATGTACTCCCAGCATCGCCTCAACCTAAGAGGACATTTATGTCGACACAGCCCCGAATCGTTGGAGTTTCAGGCCACAAATATGCTTTCAGCAGCGCACCGCCACACAAGAGGAAGACCCCAGGCCCATTGTGCGGAATCCTGTATTGGTGGCAGCCTCCCAGCGAATTACGCATCTCCAGTCCGACGCAGCCCCGTCGCACTCCTCCATCGGGCATGTTTTCTTTGCTATCCCGGCAGCAATAGACATAAGAATGGAACACTCCTCGCAATCAATGGTGTGGATGGATAATACTCCCCTTTATCGCCGAGCATCAACACTTGCCACAAATAGAGCACTTTGGGTATCCGTTGTCCATAAGCCAAGCCGTAAACCCCAACAGTGCTCCTGAAACGGTCGGTGCACACGGGACCTTCGAGGACCCTGCACTTGCAAAGAACGGTTTTTTCTTCAATGCTTGGAATTTGCGTCCCTGTATCGGGGGCGCAAACGTCTGAACCGTAGCCCGCCCTCCGCCGATTTACTGCACTTACAAGTCCAGCCACAGTTCTCTTTTGCAAAGGGGAATTCGATGTAGTTCTTCTCGACCTGTAAGATTGTAATCCTGCTTCAGCAGGTGCCCGCACCCTTTTGCTGCTCCGTAGATTTCAGCTAAGTTGAGTGGGAAACTTGCATCCTGTTGTATCATGCCGCCACAAAGATCCGACAACCGGGGTGAGCCTTCGGCACGGGGAGAGAGAGAGAGAGAGAGAGAGAGAGAGAGAGAGGGACATCGCTTTTCCGATGCCGGTACGTTCTGCCGGCAAAGCTGTAGAGTGAACACGTACATGAGAAACATGAGGAAGTCTTGTTGTTTGTCGTACGTGAGCAGCCGCCCGGACCGGCCAACAGTTGTGGGCCGGGTAGCAGCAATAAACTACGAGCGAGGGCGAGGCTGACTGCGAGGGTGGGGACGCAAAGTTGCAGAAACAAGCTGACATCATGAATCGAGGCTCCGGTGTTCTTCACACCTTCTTTGGCAGAAGCCCCAGACGGAAAGAACCATGACCATGCTCGGTCCGGAGGTGATGGGTCTTAAGCTTAGTCCGGTTGGGAAGCCTGAGAAACGCGGTGTGGAAACGAATTGAGCGTAGGCTTACCGCTTTGTTGGTCGAAATGGATAAGGCGGATAGGTGCATGCCTGCTATTGCATGATGGCTGATGTGTTTCCACATGTTGCCAAGCCGATGTCCGAGCCTCAAATTGCAGCCTTCCCCAAGCCGAAGCTTTCAAAGCCACAAGTCAGAAATCATCACATGCGTTGGGCTTCGCGGTCAGGCTCGAGAGGGTGCGGTATTTCAGCTTTTTCGAGGCAGAGGCAGCCGCAAACTTCCGAGCCCTTGACTCTCAAGTATCCCCAGAGCCCCCAGAGCCCGCAACATTTCCGAAGCTTTCAGATCAAGCTGCCGCTGGTGGAGGACAGCGGTCAACCGGAGTTCCGGTGCCCCTTCGATTTTGCATGTTTTCGGTGCCACGATGTAGGGGGCCATGGTTGTTTTCTCGAAGGTTAACAAAACCCGCCAGATGCAGGGAGGAGGTGATTGGCCCATCGAGTCTAGCATCAAGCTCAGCACTCTAAGTTCTAAATGGCAAGGGCTCCATTGCAGGCGCAGAGGGCTGGGACCTTGAGGCCCCGTGGCCCAAAGGTTATATTCCCCACTAGTTCCGAAGGCACCGGCCTTGTAATCTGCAGGTGGAAGTGCTTGCAGCTGGTTCCTCTACATTTCATATGTCGAAAGACGCGAACGGCAACTGGAAGTGCGCAGGCACCGTGACCTAATGCTCCATGTTCGACCGGTCATACTTACTATGCCTCGCTATGCTCGTGGTTCGACACCAAATGTTTGAAAACTGTTCGAACTATTCTACAGATCGGGCTAACCTGACAAGCATTCCTGCTAGATCTTGCTAGCGTTGTGCTCTCCTGTCATATGCCTAGAACTCTCAAGGAGCCCATTACTGGTGCAGAGTTTGTGCGCCCCTGGCCAAGCTTGTGAGTCAAGGGGGTTTGGTATGTTCAACTAAATCATAGAGGTCCCTGCTGCAGGTGCACATGCACTCAGTTTTGCAGACCGTTTGTTGGGCTTCCACGTCTTCCTCACAAGTACGCGATTGGTGCGCAAGATAGCTTGTACAGGAAGATAATTCTGCTGCCTCCACGAGGATGTCCAGTCATATCTGTCCATTAGAATGAAAGGGTTCTGCCTGTTTGAATCTCTTGGGTGCTGGGAACTTCAGCAGGGATCGCGATGAGTACGAGAGTTGAATTGCAGTCAGGTAAATCTCCATGTCTTCAACCGGCAGTATACCAAACCAATGTAAACCTCTGAGGCCGGAACCGAAGAGCCGGAGAAGACGCGCATGACGTTGATGCAAGACACCACGCAACACCGTTCAAAAGTCTATGTGCGCACGACGCCACCCAATCTTTGACGAGAACTTGCCTGCTGAAAGCCTCAAGGCCGCAACCTGATAGCCAGAAATGCCTTGGCGCAACTATCTGAGATGGTTGAAGACGCCCCACGCACAAGACAACCCTCCATCACACACCTTATTGCCCTAACCATGAATAAGCAGCGGCCTGCAAAACAGTCGAATCAACATGGTGCAGCCCAGGAGCCCCCAGCAAGATTCCGTCAGATCAAGACACACAAAGGTCGAAACGACAATTTTCTGCATCTTGGCAATCCCTCCCTTTGTCGACGAACCCAGTTGGAAGTACTTAGATCCACCACAACCCTGCAAGAGCATGAAAAACGCACGAGTCTGAACACAAGTCCGTGGAATGCCCCAGGCCTGATCCTGCTTCTCTTTGCCGGCGGTCTCCTGCAGATGGCCTGGGACGCAACCTTGGTAGGGTTCCTCTCCGGTTTTGGCAGGCTTTGGTCCAACGAGGGTGCGTGGGCGTGGCCCGCCATGCTTTGGACCCCCTTACTCTTTCCCGTATTGCTGTTTGTGAAGCCTTTTCCTTCATGTTTCCTTCATTTCGGGCTTGGGTTGTCGTGTTAATCTCAATTGACCGAGCTCAGGGCCACAGGATGTAGGGGTCAGTGTTAGGTTTCCCAGGCTCCCCTACAACATGTGCAAACTCGCACGTCTCTGCGTCACTGCGTCAGGGTTGGAGCTCTGAGATCCTGCTGGGTTGCCAGTTTCTGTTGTGATTTGTGCGAAGTGAGCGCGTTCGAGACTGAGAAGCCTCTCGCTGAAGTGTCCGAGAGTGAGAGGAGAAATCGGAAGCTAGGGTTTCTGTCTGGACACGCCACGGTCAGAATCTGAAGTGTTGTTTAACATAGGACCGCATGTAACTGTAACGGCTTTCTTCATCGGCCTTCCCGTCCTGTCATGAGCTCAGGGTTGGAGCGGCAGGCGTTGTTACAGAACACTGCTTTAAACACAGCGTGGTCACAGCGAAAGTGCACGGTAATACGAAGCAAGCTGCTAGTAAGGGCATTGTCAACTCACAAGAGGAGGCTGACCTGGCTGCTGAGGTGGCGACGGTTGCGAAATTCCTGGGATCTGTTCTGCCCGCCAACAAGGTGAAGGCAGACCGCGTTCTGGAAATCAGAGGCAAAACTCAAGGCTGCGGGTGTTTCGGGCTTGGGGTGTGAATCATTCAGAATGGGCCTTCAGCAGAAGCCAGGTCCTAACACTTAAAGCCGAAACATTCCAATCTATCGAAGAATATTCAACATACTCTGTTCATGGCACCTCATGTGCCTGCAAAAACCTAGACCTTCATCGCGTGCTGCCAGGCCGAAGTCGACAATGCCATCTCCCCGGAGACCAAATCAGCGGAAACCACTTTGGGTCTGGGTGTTTCGGCTGTTTAGGGGTGGTTCAGGCTCACTCTCCTCGTTTGGCTTGCCTCAAATTTGGGGCCTTGCAGGGAAGGATTCGATTTTGGTGGCGGATACAGAGGAGGCTTTGGAAATCCCGAACCATGACAATGTATGCACACACATTATGCCCGAAGAATGAACTCTAAACTTGCCTACCTACACCTACCTGTTTTCAAGGCCAACCAAGACTCGCATCTGGCGAGCCCGAGTGGGAGAGCGTAAGCTTGCCTGCAAAACTGTCAGTAGCACGTTCAGCCTGGAAGGATTGCCCCCCACACACAGCCTCAAGGTTCTAACCTTACAGTGCAGTAGTACCTCTTCCCCCTACTCTGCGTCATTCAACACCCGCAGCCCTAGTCTGTATACGAAGCCCGAGCCCCGAAGGCCTAAACCCCCAAACAATTCATTCTGCTGTGAGGCAGCCCCGGCCCTACCTGGGCTGACGCCGAAAAACGCGGTGGCCTCCCTAGCTGTTTGGTCTCGGTCTCCGATTGGGTTCGGGAGTTTGGGTGCAATAATCAAGATGCCGGGCCTAAGCCGCTACCGTCGCCAGAATGCATACACACACGCACACATATATATATATATATAGCAATGTATGTACATAACTATCTGCATATATATGTATATATCTCTCTCTCTCTCTCTCTTACTCTCTCTATTTTTTATGTGTAGTTTTTATGTAATCTAGAGAGAGCACGTATTTACATAGACGTAGGTACATATACATAAAAAGATGTAGGTATAGATATGGATAGATAGGTAGATAGATAGAGAAGTATGTTTGTGTAATATGTCTCATGTAAGTTTTCATATTTGTATTCATGCATATGTATATATGTATATATACATATGCATACATGTATGTATGTATGTATGTCTGTATATACACATCGTATTTACGCCGACGTGTACACCCATGTTTATCAGCTTGCGCTGAAGAGTGCCGTCATGACTACCTAGATTATTCTTATGATGAAAATAACTGTCTCAAATATCAGCATCATGCTTCTAATGACTGTTGTTATTGATTTTTGTTCTTGTTGTTATCACTACAGCACTAGTACTGCTGTTGTTGTTGTTGGTATATGTGCCAGGAGTATCATGTGTTCATAATAGCTCGCAGTTTCATGACGCATGAAGATGCATTAAGCGCCTGTTGCTTTGGGATTTGATTTTGTGGTGTTATGGGGTCGATTGTTCATTGCATGTTAGCCTTGCAAGGATTTCTGAGTTGGACTACGCTATTGTATGCTGTATTTTACTTTGCTTGCATCAAAGAAGCCTCTGCGAGCCGTTCGTGCTCTCTTGTGGGTACCAAGTTGCATAGGAAGCAGCTTTCCGCGAGTGCGTTTCGGCTTCACAGTGTGTTTTACGAGACACTGCGAGTCCTGCACCAGTCTAACGCCCGAGAGCCGAGGAGCCGTACCCACGACCTGGCAGGTGGGTCCTTCGTGTGTGTAGTGGGTCTTGGTGATTTTGGTCTTGGCGTGTGGGTCTGTGTCTGTCTGTGTGCATCCATGTCTATGTCTGTGTACATGCTGACGGCCTGATTCTAAAGTAAGGGTTGCGGGATTGATTCTATTCGCAACATGTCGTACTGGCATCCCACGTCGTCGTTCGTGCGGTGGTGCAGCGGGCGGCCACGGTTTTCCGGTCCAAGGTTCAAGGGATGAACGACCCAGAAAAACAGCAGCCAGGCCGCGAATCAATCAGAAACTACGGCTACGACTCAGAAGCTGCAAATCGGAACAGCACGATTCAGAAACTGCGAAGTGCGAATCAGAAGTCAGCGCGAAACGATCAGAAACTGCGAATCAGAAACCAGTGCAAAGCATACGCTCGACGGCGCGAAACCCGCCCCGATGGCAGTTGATCATATTTCTTATGCCCGCTCCTCGTTTAGGTTTTTGCGATTCATCGCATTCATCCCACACGCCCCCTCAATACGCTTGCGGCGGTTGATCCAAGCTGCCCCCGCAGTAGGAAATAGCATTCGATAACTCCGCTTACCTGAGGTTGTGGTTGTCGATGTTTGGTAACTTCAGGGGTTGCGGATGCGCCTGGCGAACCTTCCCGATGCAGGTTGAACGCGAAATCGGGAAGCATGGCCGACTCCGGCCCTAGGTTCTATCGAACTCTACAGACGAAAGACTCTTCCCACAATTCCCGGGAGCTTGATGAAACAACGCAACACATCGCTTGAGCTCGCCACTGAAGCGGTCGAGCTTGGAGGCCTTACAAGCGCAGATGGCTTCCTGTGTATGCGGTCATTATGCTGGCGGTGCGGGCCCAAGGTGAACAACCAGTTTGCCTGCAGCATGCGACCTTATGACGCTTACGGTTCGGTCTCAGGTTACAGGGTTGGGGTTGGGGGCCTTCGGGGGGTGGGCGTAGCGTCAAGGCCTTGTAGCGCGGACTGGATACTCATAAGACTACGAAAAATGAGTAGTACGGCGAATGAAAATTCACAGTTTTATTTTGCACCTCCCATCATTTAGTGGTAGCAAGCAGACTAAGTACTAAGAATACTGGTAAGACTAGAACTGGTGCTACAACTATTAATCAAACTGTTAATCATACTAAGTATTCTCGTAGTTCTAGGCTGCAATTCTGTTAGGACTGGACGTGTTCTAGCGCTGGTACTGGTGCTAGTACTTGTTCCAGTCGTGCGAGTCGTAGAAGTAGTAGAAGAAGGAGGAAGAGGAGTAGGAGTAGGAGTAGGAGTAGTAGCAGGAGCAGGAGCAGGAGCAGGAGCAGGAGCAGGAGTAGGAGTAGGAGTAGGAGTAGGAGTAGAAGTAGGAGTAGGACTACTGTGGTACTAGTAGTGGTCTAGTAGAAGTATTCTAGTACGGCGTCTTCGTGGTGGTGGTGGTGGTAGTGCAGTGCTGGTCGTCGTCGTTGCGGTCGCGGTCGTAGTGTGGTGGTGGCGTTTGTGGTCGGCGTAGTAGTAGTAGTAGTAGTAGCAGTAGTGGTAGTAGTAGTAGTAGTAGTAGTGGTGGTAGTAGTAGTAGTAGAAGTAGAAGTAGAAGTAGAAGTCATAATCGTAGCAGCAGTAGCAGTAGCAGTAGCAGTAGCAGTAGCAGTAGCAGTAGCAGTAGCAGTAGCAGTAGCAGTAGCAGTAGCAGTAGCAGCAGTAGCAATAGTAGCAGTAGTGGTAGTGGTAGTAGTAGTAGTAGTAGTAGTAGTAGTAGTAACAGAAGTAGTAGTAGGAGGAGCAGTAATAGTGAAGTAACCGTAGTAGTAGCAGTAGTAGTAGTAGGAGGAGGAGGAGGATTACAAGTACTACTGCTAGTACCAGTACGAGTATTAGTACTAGGAGGAGTAGCAGTAGGAGGAGTAGTCGTAGAAGTAGTAGTAGTAGTAGTAGTAGCAGTAGCAGTAGCAGTAGTAGAAGTAGTGGTGGTGGTGGTGGTGGTGGTGGTGGTGGTGGTGGTGGTAGTAGTAGTAGTCGCAGTAGTAGTACGTCGTCGTAAGAGTAGTGACAGTAGCAGTAGAAGAAGTAGTAGATGATGTTGTTGTTGTTGTTGCTGCTGCTAGTGTGAAATGGGAATGGTAGTGAAAGTGGCGCCAGTGGCAGTGGTAGTAGTGGCAGTCATAGTAGTAGTCGTCGCAGCAGCAGCAGCAGGTGCAGAAGGAGCAGCAGGAGGAGCGGTATTACAAGCAGCGCTAGCAGTAGTAGCAACTGTGGTGGTAGTAATCACAAACTGAACTTACCGAGGCACTGCTTTGCCTGAAGCTTGGTCGGCAGCAGCAGCCCAAAAAAATTCTGTGTTTGAGGGTTGTAGGCCTATGGGCTTTACGGTCTCAGTAAATTTTTCTCAGGAGTTATAACATGGGTTTGCCAGGAGTAGGTTTTGGGCTTGTCAGGTCTCGCATATGGGTTTGCAAGGGTGAGTGTAGGGTTTGGGGTTCGGGGCTCAGCTTTGGAAGTGTAGAGGGTTCACTGTAAGGTCGTGGCGCAGGAGGCATTCTTGATCGTGTCTTGATCTTTATTGGAACTCCAGGGCAGAGGGTGGACCTCGGCTGGCCCTGGCTTGATCTGAACCCATGGCCTAAGACCTCTTTCGGCTTTTCATTGTGAGAGGCGCGAACCACGCTGCGTTTTGTTTTGGTGTTTTTGGGCTTTGCTAAGTGGGTGGGCTTTAGGATCAGAAGTTTTTCCTATGTGTTGTAGGCATCCAACGTGCCTGCATGGTGATGCAGTCTTTTTGCAGCTTGTGGCTCTGGTTCAACCAGAGTCTCAGTTCCAGGTGCTTTCAAGGAGAAGCATTGGTGGTTGTTTCGGGCAAATGTAGGGCCTTGGGGTTTACAAGATTAAGATGGCTGATGTGTTTGATGCCAGCTGTGGAGTGCCAAACGAGCTAGCTGATGAGGTTCTAGTGCAAGTTTTGATCGAGCAGTTCTTTTACAGCTCTACCTCTACCGACAGAAGTGCCGCTGTGGATGGAGGAAATCTTGCACCGTTTAATGTTGTTTAGCTTCACCCCGCACCCCCTTCTTAACATTGCTATGAACAGGGGGATTTGCAAAATCGTTCCAATGACATAAATCTTGCACCGCCCCAGGAGGTCTGTCGTCAATGTTAAGAAGGGGGCGCGGGGTTGTTGCTTGGATGTGTACTCGAAACAAGGTGTGTAGGTGGTGCAAGATTTCCTCCATCCACCGTATGTCCGCTGCTTGTGGTGGAGAGTTGTTGATCTGTGTGTTCTGACGCGCATGCGAAAGGGTTATGGTTATAATTCGGAAGCCTTCAAAACAAGAAAAAGAGAGGGGGGTGTCTGAGGGTTATGACGGCACGTTTTCTGAAGCTCCTCAAGAACTCTCCTCTGCAGGGACTTAGAACCTTAAGCTCGAAAGGATTTAGACGAGAGGAGCGCATAGGTCTCGCGTGGTGGAGTCCGCCTTCATCATGAGCGCCACTCTGCTGGCCTTCGTCCTAGGCACAGCGCTTGCGAGGGCGTGTATGTAGGGTTTGGACTTCAGGGCTGGAGCTTCAGAAAAGGTCTGGTTCAAAACAGTTGTCTCCAGCTTCATGAAAGAATATTCGGCAGTCGTTCATTCCAAGGGAAGTTCCTGAATCAGGGTTTTCGGACGTGGTTGTCGGATTTGTCACAAAATATTGTCTATTCTGTACACGTGCCCAACCTTGCACCCCCCCCACACATGCACACATACATGCATCCATCCATCCATCCATCCATCCATGCATGCATGCATGCATGCATGAAAGACACGAGTATATATATATATATATATATGTATATATATACACATATCTATACACATTTAAATATATTGATATATATATATATATATATGTGTGTGTATATTTGGGTGCATTTGAATGTGTGCAGGCTGGGAATCACTAATTCGCATAGAGTTGCTTGCAACCTGCGGCATGTTGCCGCATGACGACGACAGCAGAGAATTCCTTTATGGTTCTGTTGTGCAAACAAAAACTTGCACAGATGAGGCTGTGAGTCAACTGTTACTCCAGAGAGCCTAGAATTCACCTTCATCTATAACCTTGCTTCGCGATCATTCAGCCACGCAAGAGGCAAACAAAAAAACAAAATATACATATATATATATATATACATAGCAATGTCCTCTACATGTATGTGTGTTTTTGTGTATATGTGTGTGAGCATGTACGTGCTTGGAAGTAGGTGTGCACATATAGACATCGTGCAGGCTCGGCGAAAGCGAGCTCATGATTCTTTGGAGCAGCCCTGCTGACATGTTGGCCCCTTTCGAGGCAACTTGGCCGGGCCGACCTTCAAGGCGCTTTTGCCACCGGTCTTTGTCGGCACTTGGCCCGCATGGATGCATGTCTATTTGTTTACTTATGCAGCGATATCCTTAAGATGGTGGTACTCCTGCGCAGAAATTCTTTCCGGTTTGCACAGCGTTTGGTGCATGTGCGCAGAACGGACGTTCCTTCTCTCTCTCTCTCTCTCTCTCTGAAACCTGTGAACAGGAGTCACTGGAGCAAGTGACACTTAGAGGAAGCACAGGTAAGTCTGGAGCTGTATGGCTACAACAGTCGTGTGTGAACCCCGAGAAGTATGAACACCCAAATATTCACTGTATATTCACATACATCGTCGCGATCCTTGCCTGTTTCTGCATTTATCCATCAATAGCATCGATCCATTTAATCATGTGTTTATTTATCAACCAGTCTCTCACTATGTAGCTACCTGGCTATACAACTACTGTATCTGGCGATCTACATATCTAGCTACGTAGCTATGTGGCCGTCTAGCTATCTAGATTTCAAACTGTCTAATCTACATATCCGGCCATCCATCCATCCATCCATTCATCCATATCCGTCCATCCATCCATCCATCCATCCATCCATGCATAGATCGATCTCTGGGTCTCTCGATCCATTTGTCGATGTATCGATCTATCGATCTATCAATCTAACGAACCATCTATCCATTTATGCGTCTATGTATCTATCTAGCTATCTTACTCGCTAGATAGCTAGCTATCAACCTGTCTATTTATCAATCTCTGTAGCCGTCTGTTGATTTACCGATCTGCCGATCGATCCACCTATCCACGTGTCTATCTACATTTCAATCTGTTTATCTATCTATCCATCCATCCATCCATCCATCAATGCATCCCGCCATCCCTTGAGCAGGAATTGTTCATGAAGAGTTGTGTGGGTAGAAATCCATATGATATCCATATGTGTATGTGTGAACATGAGAAAGTGCGACGGTACGAATGTATGCACGTGACCACCAAGATGAAGAGACACAAATAGACACGCCATAGTCATCAGCTTTGTCAAGTAGGTGAAGTTTGTTGAACTGGGGTCTGGCATGGAGTGCTTGTACCGCCATTTTGCGGGTTATCTTGTTACTTGTGGTATGCACTGAGCTGTGACGGGTTGTAGTTGGTGATTTAGGTTACCACTCTTTCAGTTCTTGGGTTTAGGGGGCTCGCGAGACCGGGCATGTCAATGCGGCATGCGCAAAGTGCTTCATCCACCGGGTTCCAGACATTCAGGTTACAGTTAGACTATAGTATACTATACTATAATATACACTATAATATGCTATAATACACTATAATATACTATAACGTACTATAGTGCGCATAATGACTAGGGTTTCATGAGATGTTGGGGTTTTGGGGCCCTGGGGGCCGAGATCCAAAGTGTCCAAGGCGTGTTTGGTGGCTGGATCGCCATCGCGCTCTGGGCCCGGGAGGAACCGAGTTTGCCGGAGAAGGGTAGAGGAAAAGAGCATGCAATTTGAAGGGATGGTTTGAGGTGTGGCATGTTTTCCAAGTTGGGACAGGTGAATTCCTGAAAGCCTTCAACCCAGAAAACTCCTGTAAAGTGCCTTCAGAAACGCGAAGCAGTGGCGAGCGTCAGCGTCACAGCTGGCTTCTACCTCCCAGGACGATGCTGAATCTTTCCACGACGCAAGCGTCCGAGCCGTTGTTGCGAGCTTTCCCCGAGAAAAGTGCTGGAGTTGAAGGTGCCGGGTATCTGGGTGGTTGTTTTGGAATTTTACTGAGAAGCCGGTCCCTTCAGTTTGCAGTGTGACGTCTCCTTGCTTTGACCCTTATCCGCCGCACACAAGAACGCCCAAGAACCCCGAAGCCTGCCATCGAGCACGTAAGAACTATGAACTAAGGCAGGTTGCTGGAGTTAATACGCGCTGTTTCTTCGGATTTTTTGCCTAGGAAGCTTGAACTGGAGGTTTATCCTGTTATAGGAGTTTCCGACAGCTTGATTGCGGGTCAGGGGTTGGCTGACGATGCTCAGGTCTTGGTGAGCTACTCGACAGCTGGAGGGGGCGGCACTATTCTGTGGCTTTGCCGGCAAGGACTGAAATCCTATCCCTGAACTCCAAACCTGGTAAGCTCGAAATCTCTGGGCTTCTGCTGGCTCTAAAGGCAGCTGTTCAGATTATGTCAAAGTTTGCAACCGTACACAGTACACATGTGTACGCTGTAAAGATATTGTATGCATTCATTCTCGAGGTCCAGACTGTTGAACCCATTGGTGATCTCCTTGGGCTTGCTGCTGTGCCCGGCTCGGCAACTCTCAGGGCAGCCAGTACTACATGTGTCAGGGGGTGATAGGATTTAGAGAGATTCGTTGGGCGGATTTTGGGGTTGTGTAGGGCTTCCTCTTTTTGGGAAGGCTTGAGGAGGGACCAAGGGAGCAAATCAAAGGGTGGGATTCAGGGTTCGCCAGAAGCGTTGGAGCATCTTACGCCCGTGTAGGCAGGATGCGGTTTAGGGTGCAGTTGAAGTGTTCACCGGTCACGGATTTGGGGTTGAGGGTTCAGGGTTAACCTGGCCGGGCGAGCTCCAATGAAGCCTGCAAAATAAAGGGCTCGGGGTTTTGGGCGAGATAGAGAGGGTTAAGCTCTGGGCATAGGCCCGGCACAGGCTTTGACGCGTGTAGACAGTTCGGTGATGTTGAAGAGAAACACGACAGTAGGTTTGAGGGTTTCGGGTTTTGAGTTTGGAATGTAACGTAGGGCCCGTAGGTTTTCCTGACGAGCTTGGTCTGTCATGTTGAACGTCTAGAGTCTAGGTGGTTCAGGTGTTGGATGTTATTGGAAAGGTGAAGAAGCTAGGCCGGCTATGCCCGATTGCTGCTCCTTAGCGGCGGTTGCAAACTACCGTAGTTCCTCGATTTTCAGTTTGGAGGTCCTGCGAACCCTGATCCTGCAAATGGAAACGATTCAGGGTTTAGGCAATACCTGACGGGTTCTCAGGTTGGTCAGCAAGTACAACAAAGCCAGAGTCTGCCGATCCCTCCGAGCCTTTCTCGAGACAGGTTCGAGCGTCGGCACTTGCTGCAGCGAGACAGCAGGCCGGGACTGGTGCTGGACCGGAGCGCAAAACTCGCCCAAGCATCGCTTAATTACTCTACGCCGAAGTGGCTTAGATAAAACCCAAGACTTTCAAACCCGGAGTGGGTGTAGGTGTTTGGCATCCGAAAGTCCAAGCACTCGATAATGAATAGTTCTGGTTTCACACCTCCCAGCTGGAGAGAATGTGGATTTGCTAGGAGTCTTTTTCAGAGCTCCTAGGATCCTGCGACTCAAATGCCTGCCATGCTTCTAACCTGCTGCGATGTTGTCACCGATGCTTGTATGTCTGAGGTTGTCGTGCCGTTGAGCTCCGGACTTTCGGCACCACGTCTTACAGCAGCCAACCGCATCAACCAGGATTCTCCGTTGTGGACCCGACGGCATGGAATCCCCAACAGCGTTTACAAGACCCCTGAGACCGTCGACAGCCCCCAGAAAGATATGTCCATACCAGCAGAGCCCCAACCCCAAACTGATGTAATAGTAAACCACATGTGCCCCAAGGGTCATCGTCGGAACGGCCTTACTTGCAGCAGTCTGGATCCCAGGGATGTTTGGAATCGGTTTTCGTTTTCGAGACATTGTCCGTGGTATGCATTTTGGAGTTCAGGGTTCAATTCAATCAAAACCACTTTTGGGTTTACTGCGGATCTCGAGTTTCCGATGTTTTGGTGTACGTCCTGCAAGGGTTTTGCAGTCCAGTGGTGACGTTCAACAAGCGGCTACCGGTACGGACACCCAGCACAATATGTGCAACGATATACGCACCAGCTTTTAACTGGAGTCTGTACAATGCAGGTAGCTATGAAAGGGTGCAACATAACTTCTGTCGTACTCATAGTTAAATCTTGATACGTATCACCAGCCGTGATGCGAATGGGATAGTGGCTGCCATCGCATGCTAATCCCCATGCGCATATTCGGCAAGCTAACGCTCTTAAGTCCTCAAGTGTCACTCGTGCTAACAACTTGTCTACCGTTGTTTATGAAATAGACTAGCAAGTCCAGAAGGGCGGCCAAACATGAGCATCAGATCAAGCAACGTGTGTTCAACAAGTCCAACTTCTTGCCGTAAGGCTTTGGGAAGATGCTTCGCCATCTTCCTGGCAACATTTCCGGAACCTCCTGTCTAAGATGTAACTGAACCGTTTGTCTTTGAGAATTTGTTTTACCATTTACAATTCGGTTGATCCCCGTTGCGGCAGTTCATGAACTGCGAAGGTGGCCGGCCTGTTTGGCACCGCTATGCTCGGCCGATTTCTGGCCTTGCCGAAGGCGCAGTTCGCGAGCCGGTTTAGGCATGGCGAGGCTTTTGATTGCTTCGGGGTTTCCGCGTGAGTGGTGGAGCTGTGCGGTGGCACAAAGCCCGAATGAGCTAGCCAACGCCCATTTCGGCAGATATTCTGTGAGGCCGAGAGGTTCGTTCATCGATGCAGGCACTTCGACTTGACGATTTCTGCTGCTTCAATTCGAGAAGATAGTCGAGCCTGGTGGAAATGTGTAGTAGACAGCCAAAGCCACAACTGAACTGAAGTCTTGGCAGGGCTTTGCGCACTCGTGCGGCACCCAGGGAGTCGAGCGGGACCGGGGTTAGGGCTTTCGAGCTTTCTCAGTGCAGGCAAGGTTGTCATAGTGTGATATTGCAGCAGTTTTTGCGTAGGCTCACAATATGAGGTTTGGTTGCGGGAAGCATGGGGAAGCCTTTCATTCGTTTGAGGGGGACCAAAGCTTCGAAGATGCCGGCGTGGCTTTGGAGTGAAGCAACTTAAAGACCTAAAGATTCTGCGGGCGTCTATTGCTCGATTGCTGGATTGGGTGCCGGGTTTTGCCCATGCTTCTGTATGTTCGTGCATATGTACTTGTGTGGTTAATCGAAAACACGGCCACGCCTCATTGGCGCCGCCTCATGAACATCAGCTGGAAAGGATCTTTGGTATGTGACTACCACAACCAAGAATTGTCAGCATCAGCTTGGCCGTTCCGATGTACCTGACCGAGATCGGAACCCACAGCAACGCATCACGAGCATCAGCTGGATCGGCCCTGGGAGTGTCAGGCATCAAGCTCCGCAACCAAGCATTATAAGCATCTGCCGACCACTCCAGTGGATCTGAATGGAAGCCCGAAGCCACACAACCATGCATCATGTGGCACCACTCCAAGACCGAGATCGGGTTCCACAGCCACGCGCAAGCATCAAAAGGGCCCACTCCTATGTAGTTATGGGGCCGAAGCCAAGCATTATGAGATATTATGAGCATCTGCTGGGACCATAGCGATGCATGTTGTTGTATTTTACTGCATTATAGTGCAACCGAACGAACCAAACAGCCAAGCATCGTGAGCAACAGCTGGGATCGCTCGCAGGCCAGGCCGAAACAAATCATCGGCTGGGACCTCCGACATAGCTATCGGACCGAAACAAGCCCACAAGCAAGCATTTGGAGGATCCGCAGCGACCGCTCCGGTGTACTTGATCGGAATAGAAAAATTGCAGCATCCGACGGCCACGCATCATGAGCATCAGCTGCTAGTGACCGTAAATGCTTGCCTACATATGCATGCCTGCAGTAATTTGTGGTTGAGCACGGCAACAAGAATGTTTCTGGAAGGAGAGAATTCTGATCTGAGCCGCTCCGGTGTGTATGGCCGAAATTTATCAACCTCACAGCCAGGCATCACAAGCATCAACTGGGACCGCTTCGGTGTGTCTGTCAACATCGGGCCTTACGGACACGCATCATGCGCATCAGTTGGGAATACTCTGAGGTCCAGATCGTGGCTCATAGCAATGCATAAAGGGCTACGACTGCTCCGGCGTACCTGATCGAAGCTACAGCTACGCATCATGAGCATCAGCTGGGATCGCTCCTAGCTATGTGGCCAGTATCAGCGTCAGCTGGGAATGCTTCAGTGTGCACATCAGCTCGGATCGATCCTAGGAATGTACATCAAGCTCCGCAACCAGGCACCCGTCAGCATTATGGGCGTAGTTGGGACTCAGCTGATATACCTGATTGAAATCAAATCCTGTCACTTACCATGAGTTGTCATGCCGTCAATACAGCATCAAGAGAGCAGCTGCCAAATGTCAGACCGAAATCGGACCTGCAGCCACGCATCACGTGCATCAGCTGGGACCGCTCCCAAATATCAGACCAAAATCGAACTTCGCTGCCACGCATCGCGAGCATCAGCTGGGACCGTTCCCAAATATCAGACCAAAGTCGAACTTCGCTGCCACGCATCACGAGCATCAGCTGGGACCGCTCCCAAATATCAGACCAAAATCGAACTTCGCAGCCACGCATCACGTGCATCAGCTGGGACCGCTCCCAAATATCAGACCAAAATCGAACTTCGCTGCCACGCATCACGAGCATCAGGTGGGACAGCTCTCAAATATCAGACCAAAATCGAAC